CAAATAAGCATTCACTACAAATAAGCACACCCTCCTGGGATTATTTCCAGATCTGCAGAAATCAAATTATTTGTCACTTTATAATTATGTTACATGCAATAACCCCATGTACCTGATCACAGACATGTTCACTTACTTAAAATACACCCATAGCCATAATTTGAAAACACTGTATTTCTTAAGGTACAGTCTGAGCAATACACAATAATGACATCATTTTCCTAATGCATTATGTCAGTTTCACTGACAACAACAGTTACAGAGTCTGGTACACTTCATCAGTGATACATGTAGTAAACAGTACTTATTGAGTCAAGCCTCCATTTGGTACCAGTCCTCTCATTGGTGACCACCTCCTGTAAGCAACCAAAAAAAAAACTGGAAAATTTCCGCAACTGAACCACAACAGCTGGAGTCTCTTGTGAATGATCCCCTCTCATAAGGATGTCAGATGATTTTAAAATTTCCAATTGTTTTTATCCCCCTGTAGCAAACATTTGAGGCATTTTAATGTTCAATCTTTTTGTTTGCTGTAGTGCTCAAAGCACATGACAACAGGGATGTCACTAAGATTTCAAGCTTATGCATGGGTAAATACAACAAATAGGCAGGGAATAAAACAGCTAGGGAATTTTTTTTGGTTCTATAATTTTTTCTTCCATTTTCTTATGAAAGTAGGCGAGGGCCACATTCATAGTAGCTGCAGGGGGAAATCACCAGGCCCCACCAGTTAATGACAGCCCTGGACACATGATGAAACTACACATATTGTAGATTCTAAATTGCATGCGATGAGTTCTGTTCCAAAATGTAGATGTGTTGGGACCTCGATCTTCTAGGAAGGGACCTATTGTTGTTCGATTCAATAAGTAGCCACCTCCTTATAAGATGACCAGCCACTCAATCATAATTTGTACTGTGAGTGCATGGTCATCAACAAGAAATAGTTTAGACTGAATTTAAATGAGAAAGAGGAGACACTAGGAAAAAAATTGTAGCTACTTATTAAAAGCAGAAAAGAAACCCTTGAGTTCATTTCCTTTTTCAGCAAGAATAGGATAAAGTTTGTTGTTACTGAATTTCTTAGAAGGTGCAATTAAATTTGCTCAAATATAAACAGCTTTCGATCCTTATGCTCTTTAAATGTGTAATAATTATTGTTTAAAATACTAATTGGTGACAAGTTGGCTATAATCATCTCATATTCCACAAACATGAGTGGAATAATTGTTTTTTTTAAAAACGCCTACAAAATATCGAGAATTCTTTGTGACCTTTACTGATTTGTAAAAACAATGACACATACAGTTACACCAGTGACACGTACATCATACACCATGATGGCTAAGACAATCAGAGCTCTAGAACTGCATTATCCAATGATTTAGTTTTTAATAAAAGCTATAATAGCTAATACCGGAATTAAAAGTAAAGTTTACTTTTATTTTGGACCTGATGAATATTGTTTTAAAGTAAATGACAAATCAGTGGCAGTTGCAAGTCTGCATTGCATGGAGGACAGATAGCTGCTGGTGTATAAAAAGTAGGCACACAATAGGCTACAAGTCCCAGCGACATGACATAGGGCCAAGCAGCTGCAGGTCACAAATGTGACTTGTTATTTGGAAAAAATTCATTCTGCTGCAAGGACAGATTTTCTTAAATATATTCTACAATTTATTGTACGTGTCACACAATCAAAGTGAATTAGCACTGTGACCTGTCCCTGCAGACCTTAAATGCACTGACTTGTCACCCAGTGTAACTATCCCAGCATCAAATCGTAAAGAAAAGCTAAAATCAACTACCTCTGCTTGGAATCAAACTCAGAACCTTTGAAATCCTAATAGACCAGAGGCAATTGCTGCCACAGAAACCATAATTTTACTGAGAAGAGTTCTATAGATCAAAAATCGATGCATCTAAACTGTCTGACAGAGAATTCAAACTCCTTTCACAAAATGGTTTGAAATTAATGGTCAGACAACTGACCTGTTGAGGCAACTTTGGAGAATATGATTAAAACAGTACAGACCATAATATAAAGAGCTTCCATAACATCTTTTTGCAAATATTGCAGGCTCTCTACTGATGTGACGTGGTATATTTAATACTACCTGACATTGCACGCTCATCTCATTCCATGACAATTATAACCATCCACCAAAGGTAATTTTGCACTTGCCAGTGACGAGGTCAACTGGATGAAATGCCACTTAAATTAGCTACGAGTGAAAAATCTGCATAGTTAATAATATTGTCTACTAATTAAAGATTTTTTTAATGCAGCTAACAACATCTGCTCTAGATTAATTCTTTCATTTTTATTCTCTAAAATTCACCTATATTGACGATATAATTTTGATTTTTCCATAGGTTAATATTTTTTTGTTATTTCTAGATGATAAGAAGAACTGTCAAGACTTTTAATTAAAAATTTGAAACCTGGTGCATTATTCCAGTACAGAATTGGGAGCTTACGTAAGACATAAATATGGTGAAAGATTAACAGTTTTGGCTCTGAAAGGAGAAGGACTCTTCAGGGTACCTAAAGCAGTCACTGAACTGAGTGAAATACAGATACAGTACTTGTGCTGGATGAAAATAAACTGATTGAATTACCAGTAAGTATCAACAAGCTGAAAAATCTCATCCTGCTAAACTTGAAAAATAACAAACTCACCAACCAACCAATTGGTTGGTTTCCCTACCAGTATACAGGGGCTGACCAAGCTTAAATTGGCTGTACTTGAGTGGAAATAAACTAACTGAACTACCTGCTGAGATTAGTGACCTCAGGGAGCTGAGGGAGCTGTGGGTGAGAAACAACCAGTTGGTTGGTTCACCTACAGACACAGATACAGAGGCTGACCAAACTTGAAGAGCGGGACTTGAGTGGAAATAAACTAACTGAACTACCTTCTGAGATTAGTGACCTCAGGGAGCTGAGTTTGATTCGTAATCCTTTAACTGTTGATGCAGTAAGACGTGCCTTAAAGTTAAGGAGGAAAGGGGTACTTGTACGTGGTGTTGTAGGTTAGCACAGCGGATATTGTAGTTATTTGTATTGTAGTTTAAAAAAACGGAGATAAAATTCCACTATTTGCCTGGGAAAGGGAAGTCAGGTTTTTTTTTTCAGTTATCGGGGGTTTCGCGAATTCAGTGAGAGTTTGATAAATTAAGATATGTTCCGGAACCAGTCCAGACTATTTCCTCTGACTCCG